GGCTGAACCTATATATCGTCACAATATATATGTATATATATATTTGTGACGATATATATATGACGATATATATATATACCCCACCCTCATTTTTGTCTTTTGTGCGTGTCGAGAGTCGTGGAGCGAGCCCCTTCATCTCGTAACTTTCAATGAGCAGAAGATCATCAGTTCGAAATTCGAATCCTCCTTTTATAGATGAATGAATGCTACGCGCCAAGTCCAAGTCCAAGTCCACCTCCCCTATATTATAGAATAGATGTGCATCTGCAGCAGAAAAGTTTGGCGATGGATGTGTTCCTTTCGTCTTCCTTCTGATGTGTCCACGTTCAGCAGTAAGGTTCTGCTATGGATGCATTGATGGATGTGTTCCTTCCGTCTTCCTTCTGTGAAAGTACTGGCCGCGATCTAGAAAAAAAGGAAAAAAAAAAAAGCGAGAATGATGTCTTCGCTGTATTGAGAGATGATGGCCACACTGATGACGGTGACAATCTTGGTGATGATGACGATATTCACCATGATGATGATGATGATGATGATGATGATTAGCACATGATTACGATGATGAGCAGATGATTATGATGATGAGCAGATGATGATGATGATTGTGATGATGATGATGATGATGATGATTGGCACATGATTATGATGATGAGCAGATGATGAAGATGATGATGATGATCAGCAGATGATTATGATGATGAACAGATGATGAAGATGATGATTCCGCGGCTGGGGCCGGCAGACTGGCGTCCAAAAAAGGTGCCCGTAGGTACAGCACCGGGACTTCCCATCCCAGTACTATTCCGGCCCAACGGCGCTTGGCTTCTGAGTTCGGATGGGATCGGGCGCATTAGCCATGGTATGACCGTACCATGTCCTGGGATCCCACTTCAAACCTCAAGGCCCAGGTTCGACTACCGGTAGGAGCAGTCAAAACACCTATGGACACCCCGCCGGCCACAAACAGATGGAGCTGGACAGGGAGTTGCATGGGGAGACCACAAACAGATGGACCTGATTCCAGCCAGCTTCATCCAGGCCTGCCCATAATTGCAGTCAGATACATTTAAGGCCCCGGTTCGACTACGGGTAGTAGCAGTCAAAACACCTGAAGGACGGCCCTCATTGTGTTTCTTGAGGGTGAACACTATGGTGTGTTTGAATTCAGCAAGCCCCAGAGTTGGAAGTGGGAGTTGGGAGGTTAAAGGTAGGTGTTTTCGGCGGGTCTGAGCACACTCCGCTTGTTCGGTGGTGGAATGGAGAAATTTTCTCGCTCGGGGAAATTTTCTCTCTCGCCCTCCCGCCCCCCTTGCTGTCCTGTGCTGACTGCCGAGCTGTTCGGTGGTGGAATGGGGAAAATTTCTCTCTCTCTCTCTCTCTCTCTCTCTCTCTCTCTCTCTCTCTCTCTCTCT